GGCATGCTTTCNCGCCGGTGAAGGCCGGCGACTGGCGGCACCGGGCCCGGCACTCCTCGAGGTCGTGCGCGACGTCCGGCGGCGCCGCGAGCTCGCCGCGGCCCCGGAGCGCGAGCGTGAGGGGCGCCAGGTTGGCCACGAAGCGTCCATGCTCGCCGTTGCGGTCGCCGCGCAGGGCGAAGAAATCCTTGTACTCGCGGAACCAGACGCGTGCGAAGATCCGCGAGCCCGCGGCGAGCTCGAGCGCAAGGCAGCCGAGGCTCCACGCATCCGCGGCGCAGCCGTCGTAGCCCGCTGGGTCGAGCATGTCCGGCGCAAAGAAGCCCAGGGATCCGCAGCACTGGAAGAGACGAGGCGAGGCGCCGGAACGCGCTGGCTTTCCTGGGCCGTGCGCACGCGCGTCGACAGGCCCAGCTCGCAGAGCTTCACGTGTACGTCCCAGAAGCCGCGGCCCCAGGCCATGAGGAGCACGTTCTCCGGCTTGACGTCGCGGTGCACGAGGTCCAGCGAGTGCATGTGCGCGAGCCCCGCGGCGACACCGTGGACGACTCCCGCCTGCTGCGCCGAAGTGAGCGCGGTCTTGTCGCGCTTCAGCAACGCGTAGAGCTCCTCGCCGAATCGCTCCACGACGAAGTAGAGGTAGTTGCGCGACGCGAGCGCCGCCTATAGAAACGGAGTTAAAGACAATGTTGACAGACACTCCATTGAGTGGTGTCAATGACACCACTCCTGACCAACATTATCTTTAACTCCGTTTCTATACGCCTGATACTTCGCGGGAGACTGCCTGATACTTCGCGGGAGACTGCCTGATGCTTCGCGGGAGACTGCCTGATACTTCGCGGGAGACTGCCTGATACTTCGCGGGAGACTGCCTGATACTTCGCGGGAGAATGCCTGATGCTTCGCGGGAGACTGCCTGATACTTCGCGGGAGACTGCCTGATACTTCGCGGGAGACTGCCTGATACTTCGCGGGAGACCGTCTGTTGTCTTCGCGGGAGACTGCCTGATACTTCGCGGGAGACTGCCTGATACTTCGCGGGAGACTGCCTGATACTTCGCGGGAGACTGCCTGATACTCAATAGTGCCCAGCATAAAAGTGACACCCATTCCATTTGGATGTGAATATGGTCTTCTTGTTCCTACAATTAATCCATAATGTCCGTAGTGCCCACCTGATGTATTCAAGGTAATCTCTTTCTCTTCCATTTCCTCCTCTTGAGTATCGTCATCTAAATTAAGACATATAACACGGGCGACCGGGTTGTCCCCGTCCGCATAACTCGCAGCAATTCTATATCGTACACCATTATCAATTAAAATACTTGTGTTCCAGACAACACTTCCAAACCAAAGTTGAAGTTTTCTAGTCCCCCCAAATAAAACTGAACCCAGATAAAATGAGCTGGGGGTGTTAAAATCAAGACCAAACCCAGCAAAAGTAGTACGGGCGCGCGACGGCCTCGGCGCGCTCGCCCCGGTGTCGGCGCTTTTGCCTGCGGTATCGGTTCCAGCATGCGTATGGAGATATTGATTCCATCATGCATATCCGCGGGTATTGGTTCCAGCATGCCATTCCGGACGGTATATATTAGGTATTGGTTCCATCTTGCTTATAGGCATGTTGCTTCCAGCATTATAAACTGATTCCAGATTTATTTCCTATTTATTTCCTACCTAGGTATTTAACAAGCGTCCAAACTGTATTAAATTTTGATCGAAAAGCCAACATCAGATTCTGCTCCTGATATGCGCGCGCTCGGCGCCGTCGCGGCGCTCGCGCTCGCGCTGCCCCCGGGCGCGCCGATGATCGTCCGCATCGCCGAGACGGAGTACGACGTCGACGAAGCCGTCGTCTTCGACGACCATCGCGCGCTGCCGTCGCTGCTCGCGGACTTCAGGGAACTCAACGTCGACTGGCCGTCGCTCGGCTTCGACGGCTGCGCGTCGGCGGACTGCGCGGCGGCGGGCCTCCTCGCGGAACTGAGGCGCAGACGCGTGACCATCGCCGACGACGCGCGCGGGTTGATCGTGAAGATCGCGGCCGTGAGCGAGATTCTCGTGCCGCGTGACGCCCGCGGCTCCCCGCCGACGGAAGGCGACGTGTCGACGGCGCTCCGCGCCTGGGGCGTCGACGGCGCGCGCGACGTCGCGGCCGCCGCCGCGGCCGCCGCCGCCGCGCGGCCGCCGACGACCGCCGACGCGGCGCTCCCGCCCTGGCCCGTCGACCGCGCCGCCGCGGGCGAGGACCGGCCCATGCCCGGCTGCCGCGCGCCCCACGTGGAGAATTGCCGGCGCTACGTCGCCATGCAGCGCAAATTCTACGACCCCGCGGCGCAGGAGCTCGTATCCGGGAACCACGTCATCCACAACGACGCCGCGGAGTACTGGGGCATGATCCTGAAGCCCGTCGTGCGGGACCCGCGCGTCTGGCGGGGGAAGCGCGCCCTCGACGTCGCCTGCGGCGGCGGCCGCAACATGGCGAACCTGCTGCGCCTCGCGGCCTGGGACCGCGTCGACGGCTGCGATTTGGTGGCGCGGCACGTCGAGGGCGCGCTCGCCTTCGTCGGCCGCGACGGCTGTGGCAGTCGGCCGGCGCGGGGCTCGCGGCCGCCGACGGCCGGGCCCCCGCACCCGTCGACGAGTACGACTTTGTCATGTCGACGATCGCGCTGCAGCACATCTGCGTCTACGTCGTGCGCCGGGGCATCCTCGAGGACATCTTCGCGGCGCTGCGGCCCGGCGGCCTCATGTCGCTCCAGATGGTGTACCGCGCCCCGCACGAGGCGCCGCTGGACCCGGCCAGACACGCGCCCTACGACGCGAACGTCTTCGACGCGAACGGCACGAACAGCGACCACGACGTCCGCGTCACGGACCTCGACCGCGTCGTCGAGGACCTCGAGGACATCGGCTTCGTCGACGTCGAGTACGAGGTCGGCGGCTGGCACCTCGGCTACGTCGTCTCCTACCCAGACCAGTGGCTCATCGTCTACGCGCGCAAGCCCGGGTCCGCGACGGAGCAGCGCGTGTAGAAAACGAGAGAGAGATAGCCCAAACTAGGGTAATGAGGAAGGTTGTTGTCGACGTTACGGGGGAGTGCAGTGTCATCTCCCTAGTGTGACGTCGCGATAAAAAGGAGCAAGGTTGTCGGGCCCTGCTTCCGGTATCATGAGCCACGGTTCCGAGGGGCATTTCGAGGGGGTCCTTCTTGATATTAAAGCACCTCGGGGCGGGCTTCTGGATCATAGCCCCAGCGCGTATGGTGCTCGCCTCACCCCCTTGACCCAGCGCGCGAGGGTCGCCCGTCGGGCCACGCCGTAGCCGCCGGTACTCGAGAGCGCTCTTCGTGGGGGGGAGGGCGCGGCGCGCCTCGGTGCTTTCTCCCCCCTTTCTCCCCCCGGAGAGAAGTGCCAGTCGCGCAAGGGTCGCGTGTCGGGCCACGCTGCAGGCGCCGGTACGCAAAGTAGAGGAGGCTTATCATGGGGTGCGTTTTCTCTTCTTGTCGGAGGCTTTTGGCGCTAGTCTTCGGAGCCTCGCTGCGGTCGTACCACCCCAGCTGAGCATGCTCGCGACTTTTGGGCGCTTGTGCTTACTGTGGAGCGATTGTGTACCCTCAATCGCATCTGCAAGAGCTTCGCTTACGAAGCTTTGATATGTTTCCAAGTCTGGCTCATATCGCTGTCGGAATTTGTCATCCACGCGGCTAAAAAGCGACGGCAGCTGGTCCAGGTAGTCGGCCCATATTCTCCAGTCCTCTTGAGTGGCTGGCGGATGCTGGAAGTCAGGTTCTTGGCAAGGTTTGTTCTCCGGTTTTTCTTCCTCGTCGTCGTCCTCCTCGTCGTCGTCCTCCTCGTCGTCGTCGTCCTCCTCCTCCCCCTCCTCCTCCCCCTCATCTACCTCCCCCTCCTTTTCCTCCTCCTTTTCCTCCTCCTCCTCTTCTTTCTCATCCTCTTGCTCGCTTTCCTGGTCCTCCTCCATTGATGGTGCTGGTGCCGGTTCTGGTGCTATTGCTGGTGTTGGCTCTGCAGGTGCTGGTGCTGTTGCTGGTACTGGCTCTGCTAAGATCTTTTCCCACTCTTGTGGCCCGTGCGCCAACTGCAACAGATGCCGACACCGGGCCCATACGCCGCCATCGTTCTTGCCCTGTGCATGAACAAAAATTGGCCCGAAAATTTCCGGACAGTTATTTATCCCCATCTCTTTCAGCTCCCTAACTATAATGCCGCTCTCCAAATCTGCTGTGCTTGGCATCGACGTCATTATGTGCTGCAACATCACCCTCATAGGTTCGTACTCAGCTGCATTCCTGTCATTGAACGTTGCAAACAGCCATTGCTGTAATTTGTTGCACTCTGTGGGTTCCTCGGTGTCCATCCGTGCTGGATTCGATAGGTGGTTATCAATCTTACGCATGAATGTGCTCAAACTCTCTCTCGGACCGATTCCTTCTGGCCCTTCTGTTGCAGGCGCTGCTGCGAGGGGCTCCTGAGATTGCGTTGGAAACAACATTTGACACCATTTATCGAGGATGTTTTCATCGAGCATGTTTTCACACCATTCATCACTCTCATCCTTCTTGTCCTTCATTGTTGTCATCCTCCGTACAAGTTTCGTCGCCTCCCTCCTCTCACTATCCGTGAGTTCTCGTCCCAGTTGCGCTTCCACGACACTTTTTATCGCTGGGTCCTTGTAATAACAGTGGAGCCAATTGTCCTCATCTTTGAGCCAAGTTAATAAATCAGGGGGAAGCCCAAATTGTGGTTCTTTCGCTGGCGGTGGCCCTGGTGTTGGTGCTGGTCCTTCATCATCATCATCATCATCATGGAACAGGAGCGAACTCTGCACTTCTACATATTGTTCCATTATGTGGTTCCAAACAACTTGGTCGTCGAGGTCTACGCGATCAAAGGAGCATTCGCGGAATGCATCATAAAGCCACTGCCATTCACTGGGTCTACATCCTTGAATTGTCAGAGAACGTAAACCCTGCTCATCTCTTGCCTTGGCGTGAAACAATAGGAACTGTCCGATTTGCCTGCTCGGCCACGCTTCCTGCTCCTGTTCGTGTCGCTGCACCGCGGCGTTGTAGGCCGCTTTTACCTCCTTCTGATGATCCTCGTCACGCTCATCGAAAAATTCGGAATTGGATTCTAGCCCTGCCACTGTTTCAAATATCTTAGCCCAGGCGTCGAGGTCGTGGTCGTTAATACGCTGGTACTCTTTACTCTTTGCGAGCTGCTGGATGAAATCCGTTCGCCTCTCTCGGTATTGCAACCCTGCTGCTCGTTGCCTACGCACCTCTCTGTTTACATCTCTACAGCGACATGATTCCCAGTCGCCCATATTTCTCGATAAGCAGTGACCCCTCCTGCCGCACTCTTGACATTTCGGAACTCTGGTTCTTTTTTGGCAACCATCTGCAGCAAGAATAGATCAAATACAAAGAAAATATAAAGGGGGGGTACCTTTAGTATTTCTCTCAAATGCACTGATCAACCGTTGGTTTTTCGGAGGCCTGCCCCTTTCTCGGCGCGTACAGAAAGGGTAGGTCAGCGTGTCGTCGATCAGTCCCTCGTGCCTGTGTCAAAAGGGTAAGCCTGTGAGTAAAAAGCCCCCCCTCCCCTCACCTTGTTATTTCAGCAGTTGTTGGAATTCTTAGTTCTGGCACCGCGTACTGGGCTTTGTAGCCTTCCCATGTGTCCGCTGGGTGAACTAGTTTGCTCATCGAAATCTGGAGGTGAGACACAAGGTGCCACGCATGCATGCAGGGGCTTGCATCTGCACAGGGTTTGGTGACACACAAGTGGCATTCGCACGCATAGCCGGGGTTCTTGTCAGCAAGAAGTCGCAGGTCGACCTTGTAAGTCCTGTTACTGATATGGCAGCCAACAGTACCAATTAGTTCCCCTTCTGAAGGCAGTGGTCCTCCAGAGGTGTATTCTGAGTGCAGCAGGCCCAGGAGTACGCAGCTCATGTTGTTATATGTTACCGCTTGTTCCCTGTGCCATTTAAAACGCTCTGAAACTGCAGGTGGGAACTCATTCGCCTCCTCGGCGGAAGCTTTCTCGTTCTTCGCCACCTCCGCAAGCATGTCCTCTCGATTTCCATTGTACCTAGCTACGATTTCTTTCGCTATTGGCATGAGAGATGCCTGCATGGGCATAGTTCTGATGTTGTCCAGGGGTTTATTAAACATTGATTCGGCGGGGTTCGACGTGCTTAGCTTTGGCGCCAAGCGCAGAAGCGCTGGATACTGTTCCTCGTCACGGTAGCCACGCTCCAACCTGGCTCTCGTTGTTTGGTCCATTTGTCCTTTTTGGAATATGATTCCCTCTTTCGTTGTGCACTGATAGCATGCATCGAAGGCAGCTGCGTATCTCTTATGGCTTTTGTTAAGAGCTGATCTCCTGTGAACGACGTCTGCAAATTTTTTGACATGATTAAATTCAGTTGAAGCATTTCCCCCTTTGTCCCCATCCAGGGCATCAACCCAACATGCCTGTATGTCCCCTCCGGGGTCCTTGTCGATTGAGCTAGCTGCGGCTTTGCTCAGTCCGTTCAGCCGGTCCCAGCCGTACCTGTCCTCTGGATTAACTGTTCTGACCACAGCTATGTAATTTTGTTTGTTCATAGCATCACCACCAACCCTGACTGCTATCTGCCCGTTGCATTGCAGGAGTCCTGTGTAAAACGTTCGTTTAGTATGGAAAGTAGGGGGGGGAAAAACCTTCGTTGCAATGCGCGAAGTCGCTGGCAGAGAACCTCCTATAAGCATCTATTTGTTGCTCCCATTGGGGGGGAGCGAGCCCATAGACTGTCACGAACTTCTTGTCTTTGAGGTCTGCTAACAGAAACTCGTTCAGCGTCTTCATACCCTCTTCCGTGCACTTGTGTCCAGGCTCTTTCTCGTGGAAGCAAAATGGACAGATTGTTTTGCCACAATCTTCACACTCCCAATCCTTGCCGACAGGGTCCTTGAGGAAATTTGGCCCTTCGCACAGTATACATTTTCGTTTGCCTTTCGGCGCCTGTAGAAATGTGAAAATTTGCGAGGGGTCGAATGGCTTTTTGTTGTAGCTCGGTTTTTTTTGTTTTTTCTCTCTTCCTTTTTCTCGTGCGCATCTCTGCCCGCTTTAACTAACAATCGGTGCATCTCGTCTGACGGAATCCATTCAAGCATCGTCTTCCATCCTAATTCCCTTAGCGCCGCCAGCTCCGCTGGTATTCTGTGTAGCAATTCCACTGTACTCACTTCCTTGCTAATCCCCATACGCCGCTCCTTGGTTAGTCGCACTAAAGTCTGTATAAAACCATTGGTTAGGTCCAGTACCATCGCATCTGTAGCCTTCTTGGGCATTTTCCGTGCTGGACAATAGTCCATACATTCTTTCCTCACTGCTTCAGCTGTTATTTCAGCATATTTGCCGAGTGAACTCATGCATGGAACAAGGTCCTCGGGGTGGTAGTTCGTCTTCCTATCCGAGGACTTTCCAGCTGAGCAAAAAGGGGGGGCGGGTATCTTCTTGCAAAGCCACACTTGTGTGGAGTCTTGGTAAAGAAAATCTACTTGCATGCAAAAAACCCCGTCCTTTTCTTCTCTGCACGCGCAGTTATATGAATTCCAGTTTTGTTTACGGCTCCCGCCGCGCTTCCAAACAACGGCTATTTTTTTCATACTCTCAAAAAGTTCTTTAACTATCATAGTGCTCTGTGCTTTAGACATAAAAACGTCACCTTTATTTAGAATCGGCCCTGCGGCGGACAAAGACGCGATAACCTTACAGGTTCGGGGCGCAGGGGGGTTCTCGAGGTCTAATGCCTCCTCTCTTGCCCGAATATTCTGCCATTTTATCGTATCTGCTTTTCCTCTTTTCGCATCCGCTTCTTTTTTCCTTTTTTTTCTCCGACCCTCCTCATCAAGCTCGGGCGCCGGCGGCGGTGCTGGCGCGTGCGCCGGTGCTGGCGCTGGCCCGAGCAGCGCAAGAGTTGCAAGCGGTGTTGGTTCCTCCTCCCCCCCCTCCTCCTCCTCCTCCTTTTCCTCCTCCTCCTCCTCCTCCTGCTGCTGCTCGGGCACCAGCGCTCCCTTGGACGCCGCACCACGGCTACCCGCTCCCCCGAGCGCCGGTTCCTCCTCGTCATCCTCCTCCTCGTCATCCTCCTCCTCCCCCCCCTGCTCCTCCTCCGAGATTCCAGACGATTGCGACAATTGCCTCAGGTACGCCGCGTATCCGTCCCCGCCCGGAGGATTACTTCTCCAATATAACTTTATCGCCTTTAGATGCCCTCCTTTAGTTGGGGCTTTAACTACTATGCTATGATAATCTTTGTGTTTTCGTAACTGAGGCAAGTCCCATCCATCGATGCCGGGTGGGTACCGATCGTCGCTGGAGGACATGATGGAATGAGTGTGGTCGAGAAGGACAAGCGATAAATATGCCAGGACCAGCCCCGCCAGTCATTAAGAAATAGGAATATCAAGACGGACCCCACCGGCGCACAATTATATCAAGACGGACCCCACTCGGCTGGAAAAGGCGCTGGGCCCCCGCAAGAATACCAAGAATACCCCGCTGGCGCAAAATATATCACGACGGGCCCCGCCCTGCGGGGGAGAAGCGCGCTCACTTATATAGGGGGTGGGACCCAAGGGCAGGCACTCCGCTCACCCAGCGGCACGGCGCGAGCTGCCCTCGCCGCGGTGCCGATCTCCCCTGGAGTGTGAAGCATCGCCGCCGCTGCCGCCGCGCGCCGCTTGGCGGCCGGTCCGATGGGCCTCGGGCCTTTGATTCGGAGAAGTCCCTGCCTGAGGGACCCCGCTCGGCTGGGAAGGCCGACGGCGCTGGCCCCTCATAAGAATATCAAGACGGACCCCACCGGCGCACAATTATATCAAGACGGGCCCCACCGGCGCACAATTATATCAAGACGGACCCCACTCGGCTGGAAAAGGCGCTGGGCCCCCGCAAGAATACCAAGAATACCCGACGGACCCCGTTCGGCTCGTAAAGCACAAGCTGTGCGACATGCACGTGGAAATGGGACACCTCATCGAGCTCCTGCGCGAAAACGACGCGGTGGGCTTTCGCGCACAGTGCACGCTTTTCCCACAATTCATGAGCGCGCGAACCACGTGGTTTCATTCTGTCATGCATCTCGCTGCCAGGCTAGGGAGAACCGATGGACAAACGAGTGGATATGCCCAACGTGCCTTGAAGACAAAGAGCCAGAATGCCGCGGGGCGAAGCGCTACTGGCGATCGGAGGAGTACAAATGTGCGAAGAAAGCGCGGATGGACGCAGAGACGCGCGCTGCTTTGGTCGAAACGACAAAGCGCGACATCCGAGAGACTTTGATGCCGGAGGGACGCAAGAGCGACCTTTTCAAGAAACTCATTGTCGACATCTTCGCCACCTCGGCTCCGGTCAAGGAGTTCATGGAAGAAGCTTTTCCACAACACGACGCTGAAGTGTTCACCGAGGCCATGAAGCACATCATCGCCGCGGACCACTTCAAGTGGGACGTCAAGACACTCTACCCCGACCCCAACCAGGAGTAGGCAGCTCAGGCCACGAGAGTGTCGCCCCATGTAAGCGGGGTAGCTGCCCAGTTATAGGCCCCATTTGCCCGTTCATATTTATTTGCATTTATTTAGAGATTTATTTCCTGATCGCAAAAATATCAGGACGGACCCCGCTCGAGACGGACCCCTCGTTTCGACCGACGGATAACGCTATCGATGATGTGATGCGCCGGCGCCGTGCCGTTTCGCGCTAGGTGGTGTACGAATCGCGCGTGCGCTAGCGACGACGAGGCGGGAGCGCAAAAAATCCTGCTGGCGGCGTCCTGCGACGAGATTTTCGATCACTGCGACTGTGGGGCGCGCCCCCACTCGATTTCTGCAGCTCCAGGTTTACATATCGTGACAGCTGATATGGGGCAACTCATCGCCTCTCTGTGGTCGCCCTGTGGCTGACTTGGGTTCTAATCTCCCCCGCGCGCGCGACGACGACGACGACGACGACGACGACGACGACGACGACGGCGGCGGCGGCGGCGGCGGCGGCGGCGGCGACCGACCGGCCCAGAAAGTCGGTGCCAGGAACTCGCCGGGGGGCAAGGGGAAGTCGCCCGACACCTCCCCGAGTACGCCCAAGTAGGATTAA